GAACAATTACATTTGTATTGAAGATAACACTTTTTTCATATTTTTAAAGAAAATTATACTTTAATGTAGTCATTTCTAGATGACATTGGAACTTGTAATTTGTGTTGCTTGTGAAATAGTACTTTTTTGGGGGCCAGCTGACATTTACTTTTGTTATAAAAAATAATTACCTATTATAAATCTCTAAAATATATGGTACTATACAATAGTCCATGGAGCTTGGATACAGTTGCACATGAACAAACTATACCATACTGTTCAGTGTAGTGTAGTGCAAAGAGTCTTACCTGATGCCAACTGTTCTGTCAAGTAATCCCCCTCCTTGGTCAGCTCATCAATCTTCTCATTTTGCCACTCCACTTTCATCTGCAGAATCTCCATCTCATGGGATTTTCTTCTTTCCCTCAACAAAGCAGTTGGGGCCAAAGATGCACCTAAAATCCAAAAGTGACATTTATAATAATCATTGTAAAACAGGACTGTTTCTCAATTCAGGCAACAGAAATTGACATAAAGTTTGGGTTAAAAGAATGTGCACTTTCTAATTTGTTTCATGGAACTTTCAGTGAATACATGTAATTTTTTTTCACCCTGGATCAAGTTATTAAACAAAACTCTGTGAAATGCAAAGTGGGCCTAGCGTCTCAGGAAGTTAAGATCGTCCCAATGCTAAACATTAGCTCATTAGCTAGTAACTCACTCACATGTTATTAAAACACACACTTACTGCTGGTGGCACTGTCCGCTACGTCCTCCCGTGTGTCCATCTCCACAGTGGCATTCTTATTAGCGCGAGTCTGCACACCTTTTCAATGTATGCCAGAGTTAGGCATAGTTCTTCTGAGCTGAATGCAGAAACTTAACTCCACTTGCGCCTGCAGCGCTTGAACGCAAGTGTTGATGACGCTGCTGACACGTGTAAAACTCGACTTTTACAACCATCACACTGTCAACCACAGCAGCTGGTATTTGGAACCCCACACAGGCGCCCATACACAGCATATTGAGAGGGCATGGAGATCATACAAGGAACAGGTTTGGAGGCTTAGGGGACTGACTGTTTGCTTTCTGACCACCTTGCAGTCATTGAATGGAATGAATGGCTTGCAAAGAAACATCAGGATGGTGCATTTGGTAGGCTAATTCATGACATTGCCAGAAAGTACAAGTAGCCTAATACATAGTTGCAATATATCATTTTTGTATGTTTTAAAAACATCAAATCTGCTTCCCTTCAAAATGAAGTGATGTAGCATGATATTGTTAGTAGAGACGGCGTTGGGTTCAGGGTTTGAAAGAGTTAGTTGATTTCATATTTGTACTGTTTACAGACATTTTTCTTTGTGTATAAATATCTTTTGTGTTTTAGGTACATATCTATTTTGAGAGATACCAGATATTTTATTTATTTGTTGAAGTATGACAAGGATCTCATTTATTTTTTCATTATTTGGCACTTTAATAACTGTTCTTGACTGTAATGAGCCATGTTTGATTTTATGTATTTTTTTATATTGTAATTGTATTGTTAAGTTTTCAGTACAACTGAAATTGAATACAAAAAATATGTTCTGTATCCTTGTGTCATGTCTTGATTTTGACTGTTTCAGATCTGCATTTCCACAGCTCAAAAGAGCTTGAGGCACTTTTGGGTTTTCTTACATATTAATTAATGCTTAATAAAGCATAAACAGTCTTCACTTTGGAAGGGATCACAAAAAACAGTACCTAACAATTAACAACTCCCTGACTTATTCATGCATTGCAGTATTAATAAATCTATTCATGTTTTATTAAGTATGAATAAACAGCGAATAACGACCTTAAGCATGACTTTAGTCACCAGGAGTAAATCGTTAGTGAATGTGTTATTAAGTGTGAGTCATGCTTAAATAATGATTTTCTCATCATTAATTAAGTACTTATTCATGGTTAACTAAGGATGAATAAGGTGTAGTTATTATAAAGTGTTACCAAAAAGTAGATATGCCCAAGGAAATGAGGCGATGCAGAAAATAGGTTAGCAGGAATATAGAGCCCACTGTTTTTCCAGTTGTTCATCTATCCATGTGAACACAATCTCTTAGTATCAGACTCGGCGTGTAACACTGCCGATAAGCGAGGTTGAACTCAATTATACAGCCAGACAAGTGAAAGTAAAACACTGTCTCTTTAATAAGAGCACTGACAACAAAACACATGGATAACATGAAGCAGGATTCAGATTAAGCACGTAACACTCTCAGGTCAAAAATACAGTCCATGGTCATATCCAGCAAACTTACACAGACAAGGTTTCCACAAAAGCATTGTCAAAAAAAGGAAGTACTATGTCGATGCACAGAAATAACAATCTGAAATCAGGAGGGCTAAGCAATACTTGAAGGTCACAAGGTAATCCGGGGTCAGAGCTAGAATCACAGGTACAGGAAAAATGCTGCAAAGTCTGAACAGGAGTTAGAACGATCTGGCAGCTTCCCACTGGGTGAAAAGCTGCTGTTGTAAGCAGCTAAGTGTGAGTAATGAGAAGCAGGTGAAACCAATGTGGGTGATGAGACAAAGCTCCCAGGAGTCAGGGTGAGCTGGGGACAGGAATTGGCGTCAAAGTAAAAGCATGAGACTGGAAGCAGTGGGACAGAATCATGACACTTAGGAGCACCTACAGGGGATTTCTTCGAATTTGGCACAAATGTCGACATGGACTCAAGGATGAACTGAATCGATTTTGGTGGTCAAAGGTCTCCCTGAAAATGATCATATGTGTCTGTATAGTGATAACTTCCATTTTGCCAAAAAATACAGTTTGTAAAAAAACATACATATGCTCTGAAATGTCTGAAACCTTTAATCAATGAAAACAATTAAATTTCAATGACATTTCCTTTTGATTGGCCATTATCTCAAATGTAAGGCTTCTATCTCAGATATGGTATAACCCAATTTGCTTAGTTACATGTGGTTGTATGGAATTCATCTACCGTATTCTGATTCTTTGAGTGCAGCAGGGTGTTGGTCTCCTTGAGCAACACACTGAATCCCTGTCAGCTGTGAGTGCTGCCCTCCTCTGACCCTGTATTTTGACCTGTCTGTACTGGAGGAGCAAATAGCCAGGCTGCATCTATGCCTTTTTATTTTTACTTGCAGTATTGATCACCCAAAGGAGAATTTTATGTTCACTTGCCACTCTCCACTGTGAGGCTAGGGCACAGGGTCAGTATTGAAATACCGCCTTTGAAGATTAAACAACAAGAAGGAGCCATTATTTTTGTCAGGGAATTAAAGTACCATCAATCTTATTTAATCACCTTCGTAATATCTCCACAGATGCCAGTAGAAAGCTGTTTCACAGCTCAAGGTTAACGTGCTTTGTTCTGTGGAAAGCAAAGGGAGAGAGAACAGGGATCAACACAGAGAATAGATGTATGAAGCTACTCTGGCATGCTTTGGTTAACACCGAGTGGACACAAATTAAGGTAAATTGTGTTGTGTTGGTGGGAGGGCATGGCCAGGAGGTTGAAGTAGAAAGTAATGACAGCTTTTGTTTGGTCTGTAATTATGTCTGTCTATTTATTCACCCACTCATTTCCTGTAGAGACAGAGATAGAGACGGAGGGGAGAGGGGCCACTGATTTGCTGCTGTAACAGGTGGTACAGCTTGTCCTTGATGACCAACAAAGCAACTCTGCTACTGTGCCTGTGTGTGTGTGTGTGTGTGTATGTGTGTTATGTGCATTATGACAATGTCCAAATCGCATGCATAAGCCTTGGTATGTACCTTATTTTGCATTCACCTCTGTGCCAAACAGAGCAACTGACACAAAAGAGGGGCAAGTTAACAACAGTACTTATTTGCCTGGAAGGCCTACATTTACATTTTGACACCAGATGTATAAAATTTGCTTTGTCACTTCAAAAGAATAAGTGTGTACAATGAATTTAAAAGCAAACAATTTTTGTAATTAGAGCAGAAAAGACTACAGTTAATGATTATTTGTTGTTAGTGATCATTCTAATGATTATATCCTTAATCTTTTGGTCTATAAAATGTGGCTAATTAGTGAAAATGCCCATCAAAGCTTCACAAAGTTTTCCAATCAACAGTCCTAAATCAAATACTGTATATTCAGTTTGCAATGAGATAAAACAAATAAAAGCAGCAAATTCTCAGATTTGTGAAGCTGGACTTAAAAGGTATAACTTCTTGAAAATGACTTAAATGATTAATGTTGAACTAATTATCAAAATAAAAATGTAAATTATTTTTGTCTGTAGCTCTTTAGCTTTCACTTACTTTTAGTACAAAATGGCATGTTAGATTTAACTGTTTTTTTCATAGTATTTAAATTTTGTAATTATGTTCACCTATTTAATTAAAGTTAATTTTGTGATTAATAATGAGTTGAAACTTGTTATATAGTACATCAGCAAAACTACTTGCACTGCTAGTGAGGAAACACATTCTGTTCATGAGGACCATGTAATATGCCCAAAAGCACAAAAACAATTAACTGAAGACTGGGTTTATTTCAGATTCTTTAAAAAATGAAGTGCCAGGTTCAGTGTTGCATTTTAATATATCACAAGTTCTTCAGTACATTTACAAGCCTAATGTAATCCTGCCAACAGAAGTTTATACTCCTAATATACTGCAGTTTCTTTGATAAAGTAATCCATGCTAACACTTCAGTGCCAAATCACAACAAAAGTCATCTCCGGATATACTTTGCCTATGCCTGGTCTAGACCTTACTTAGTAAACTACAGCCCACGGACCATGTACGGTTTTTTAATCCAGCCCACTGACCTTGTCCAAATTATATTATTATTATGTTATCAGGCAACATGGCACCCTCCGAGGCAGACGTGTTTGTGCGTTCCACTTTCAAATGCCGGCTTATATTTTGTTTTCTTTTTTGTGTGCTTTTTACTTTTTCTGCAGTGCACAAATGTCATGCACTGCTAACATACAACAGACAGGCACTGCTCAATATCGCCAACTCACCCAGCCACTGCTCTCACTACAGGCCCAATGTCATCCACAAACATCATTGTCCACGGAGATTCCTGTCTGACCTCATCTGTCAACCTGTCCATCACCATAGCAAACAAGAAGGGACTCAAAGCCGATCCTTG